ATACAGTCATGTCAATGATAATATAATCTTCTGATCATCTACTCATTTGTCAGAACTACACTCTATAACTGTATGATCAAAGATAAATAACTTGAAAAAAATATGAATAAAAAAAAAATGAATGAAACCAAAAATAACAAATAAACACACACAAAAACAATAGAATATTGGTGTATGGACTATAGGTGTATGAAATATTTGTGTAGGGAATATGGGTGTGTGGAATATGGATGTGTTAAATATGGATGTATGGAATATTGATGTATGGAATATGAGTTGACGGAATATTTGTGTATGGACTAAGGGTGTATGAAATATGGATGTGTAGAATATTGATGTGTGGAATATGGATGTGTGGAAAATGGATGTATGGAATATGGATGTATAGAATATGAGTGGATGCAATATTGGTGTATGGATGAATGGATGTGTGGAATATTGGTGTTATGGAATATGTGTGTATGGAATATGTGTGTATGGAAAATGAATGTATTGACTATGGATGTATGGAATATACTTTTTATTATATAGATATGTGGAGTATGGATTAATGGAATATGGATGTGTGGAATATGTGTGTATGGAATATGAATGTATGGAGTATGGATGTTTTGAATTTTGTCTCTTTCATGTAACATGATCTACTTTTAGAAACCAGTCAAATGGTAAGGGTATATTTCTTGCTCTTTTACATGGCATGAACTACTATAAGAGTGTGTCAGTGAGTTGTGTTTAACGCTGCTTTTAACAGTATTCCAGTTATATCACGGCGTGTCAGCTTAATGTGGGAGGAAAGCCCCAAGTGATACAGGTCTTAGACGTTTACCACTTCGGTGAAACCCACGAGCACGTGTATGGTACTGACAAACCTAGAAACATAATCGAGGCGAATCGGGATTCGGACCCACAATCATAGGTTTCTTGTGTGCCCAGGTACGCAACTCTGCACGGCGAATTGCTGCGCCATACAACTGGGAAAACGTCCAAACATTCTCCAACAACCTCCATGACTTCACTAAAAGCCCAAATGTGCTATTTTTGATAGTTTAAACAACAAACCTATTAAACCCATACATTATCGAAAGCTTTGGTAAAATCAATAAACTCGCAAAGATATTCATATTCATAGCGCGCATCACAAAGCTGTTATGTAACGTTAAGAATACTGGTGAACAGCTTTCCAAACGAACATCATAATCCGGCGAAATGAGTCATGATCAAGTGAGTCTTCTTTCTTCTCATATACTGTTTTAATTATACCTGTCCGCTAGTGGTCCAGTGGGTAGAGTGTCTGCTGGGAGAGCAGAAGGTCGGTGGTCTGATCTCCAACCAAGTGACGTTTCAAGATGTTGTTTGTTGTTACCCTGCCTGGCGCTTGGCATTAAGGGGCTAAAACAAGGACTGGTCTGCTCGGAGTCAGTGTGATGTGTATGGCATGGTATCTCAGTGAGCTAGCACTATACTGCCGACATTAATCCGTACAGACAGACACACACACACTTATGTCTCACTTATGTACATGCATAAAACAACTTTGTACAAATAAACATTGATAAAATGTACAGAACCATTCAATAGAATTATGAGAGACAAATTATCATACAATTCGTACAGATATGCAATACGGATGATCTAATAAAAGGTTATCCATATAAAAGATGCTTTCTACGATTAAGAATTAAAAAGCAGTATAAAAGTATAAAAGTATAAGGTATAAAAGTATAAAACACACAGGCATCATTAAATATGTAAAACAAAGTTTGTCGATATCAGGTTTATCTAACTTAACAATACATTCATTAAAAAGAGGTGCCCTGATATCGTCCTCCCCTGCCCTGCCCTGCCCTGCCCTGTCCTGCCCTGCCCTGCCCTGCCCTGCCCTGCCCTGCCTATGATACGCAGTGAAGCAAAACATGAATCCCGTCTTCTACGCTGTCATTAGAGTGAAAAGACTTTTCATTTAATGGCTCTATGATATTCAGCAATTTAACCCAAATAGCCGCCCCGTAGTCAAAAACTTACCACACCTTACTATCGTACAATTCGGAATAGGTTTGGAAATGCATACCGCCTTTGGTCTTTTCTTTGGAAATTAGCAAGCCCAAAGCCCTAATAGCAGACCACGATGCCGTACGTGCTATTGCAGTAAAATCTAGGTGGCAATCGAATTTGGGTAATGCAATACATTTACGTTTTTCTATATTTGTTGGAATTTTGCAACATGCCGTCTCATAAGTAAGAGTTCTCACCCTTTGTTAGAAGATTTGGCAAACGTCTCATACTGTTTATTCATAATATTGAAAGGCTATGGGCTTATGGTACATGCCATATAGAAATGGGTGTATATGCAATTATTATAATATATTATTAATTTTGAAACAAACCTAGGATAATATTTATCAATCAACTGCTGGTAAAATCAATAGACGTGCCCACATACACATGTATGCATAATAGTGTGCATCACAAAGCTGTTATCTACCGTTCTCTGTTATCACCTTCTCCAACTAAACATCATAATGCGGAGAAATGAGTTGGCATCAAGTGGATCTCCCTTATTCTGATATACTGGTTTTAGTATACCTGTCAGCTCGTTATCATATACCATGCCAGTGGGAAAGCCAATGCTGAATTGACAAACGTAGAGAGGTCCCATTGAGGAAGCCGTTTCTTCACGAAGTTAGACGGTATATTCATAAAGGCAACACGTTATCATGGCAAGTTGCTCATTAAACAATTGCAGATAAAGAAGAAGATGTGTATTGACCACAGCTATTGTATTCTAAACCTTGTGTAACAATGACCCTATCAAAGATTTGTTTCTTTGTTGTATGACGTCGCAATCAGCATCATTCCAGCTGGCGGCCTGTAAATAATCGAGCCTGGACCAGATAATCCTGTGATTTTAATAGTTTGATAATAACTATCCACGCCGTCGGGATATCATGACACGGTAATGAACCAAGTCACCGAGCCTGACCATCCGATCCATTAATTTGCCTCTTGCGACCAACAAAGCTTGTTGGGGACCAACTCAAACCCGGGATCCCCACGGGGATCATGGTAGTTCAATCATAAAATAACCAGAAGTCGACGACATCAATATAGACCCGTGAAGATCCGGGGTAGAATAGGTCTTCAGAAACCCATGCTTGTTGTAAAAGACGACTATGCTTGTCGTAAGAGGCGATTAGCTGGATCGGGTGGTCAGGCTCGCTGACTTGGTTGATGCATGTCATCGTATCCCAATTGCGTGGATCGATGCTCATGATGTCAATCACTGGGTTGTCTGGTCCAGACTCGATAATTTGCAGACCGCGGTCATATAGCTTGAATATTGCTGAGTGCGGCGTTAAACAACAAACCAACGACAACAATACAAAATATAACAATATACACAACCTATAAATGAAAATTATGGCACATCAAAAAGGTGTGAGCGTCACACTTAAATATAACTCTTCTTTAAGAAAAAGCTGCATCCATGTCTTAACTGTCATTAACTAGGAACCGTATAAGACATATGCTACAAAACCAAAGTTCAAGTTCAAGAAACACGGATCGTAATACGCCAACGTCATTTGTAAAAAACTGGTAATAATCACAGTACATGTGTGTACTTGGAGATTCCTTTGGGATGATTACATTCATCGGTGGCGGGTGTGGTGACGTTGAGTATCTTCGCTTGAGATTGTTTTCCGAAATTGGATTGGTAATTAATCACATCAACATTGTTAACACGTACACAATCCTAATCTTGTCAGTCTACTGTGACAGAAGTCCGGCGACAACTTGCACTCCAATACTTTACTACAGACTATACAATTGCCGTCCTGAAACAATCGCTCTTGTGTTTCGAAGGAGAAAGTGACCGAGTGAATGTTTACGCCGCTTTTAGCAATATTCAAGCAATATCACGGCGGGGAACACCAAAAATGGGCTTCACACATTGTACCCATGTCGGGAATCGAAACCGGGTCTTCGGCGTGACGAGCGAACGCTTAAACCACTTGGCTACCCGACCATCCCCAAGAAGCAAGTAGACTGTATGTCAAAAGACAAAAGACAAAAGCACATCATATTTTATGTTAAAAAGACGAGGTAGCCCACACTGCAGATGAAACACAGCAAGATCTGGACTGATGAGACGGGAGAGATTTAGGAAAATATTTACAGGAATAAAGAAAAGCAGGATATAGCTGGCATCTATAGCATGTATTCATTCGGAAATAGTATAGAAAACACATGACAAAAAATAAATAATGACAATAATAATTGTTATCATTGTTATAAAATAGTACTTTCAACTGCAGGTGCAACTTACTTACAAAACTTTAGCGTAATTGCGTTTACCATTTTCTTTTTTATTTACAATTATTTCATTTGACACCAATTGTAAAAATGATTGTTTTCGGCATTGTAAATACAATGTAATTCTTTGTTTAAACTTTTCCTAGGGGACGATTATCATCTAAAAAGTCGATTACGTCATTTGTGAACACAGTGACGTCCTAAAAGCGGTGAGTGGAATGAACCGATTTTTGTTGGTGAAAAATATACAAAATGTGAAAGATTTCCGATAAATCTAGTGCAGTTGGATATACTGAAGTACAATACAGGTGTCATGACGTTTTCACAAATAACATGGACATATCATCTTGAAGAGGTAAAATTCTAATCCTTCACAATAAACTGTCTATCATATGATAAATCTGGAACATTTTCGGGTTCATAAACACCACATTTTGAACCAATCAGACTTTCACAATAACAAATGTGTAAATGAGCCATTTTCTAGAGATAATATTCTTCCAGATATGCCAAACTCTAAGTTGTCGGTTGTGTAGGAGGCAAATGATTGTAAGCTGTAACTAAAGAACCCTCTACTTGCCCGAAGCCCACGATAGTGCATGTGTTGGGTCATATGTTAGTTTTTGATAATGATCCAGTCTTCCACTTTGTAAGTGACTTGTCACTTTTTCTATGACGTCTTGGTTTATTTATTTTCTTCTCCCATAGTCTTCAATAACTAGATACTGGACAGGTTTGGCTCTGTCGCTACCGATTGTCATTTCCTCCCCTACCTTTGTTTTGTTCAGTAGGTTGTGCAGTGATCTAACAGCCTTCGACGTGACAGTGTGTTCAAACGTATCTTCGGATAAAGCGTCTCCAACTCGCACACGATCAATTTTAAGAAGATATCGCGTACTGCCATAATCTGTCTTTTCCTCTTTCCCGATGGGCGTCCTCAGACATTTAGGTAGCATATCTTCAATGAATAAGACAATGGACAATCTCTGTAGCCACAGCAGTTCATCTGTATTCTCGCAGTTGTCACATGTTTTTGACATTATAGCAATGAGGATGTTGAGGAGGAACATCTGGATGACTATCACAGAAAGGACAAAGAGTGGGACAGATCCATGCCGCCATGCTTGCTCAAGCCCTTTTATCTCTTCGTGACCGGTCATCATTTTAAACATCGTCATTAGACTGATAGTGAAGTTCCCAAAATCTGAGTTTTCATCACAACCTGTTGAGTTCTCCCTTGTTGAGTTTCCAGGCGGACCCTCCGCCATCGACATGGAATAGTGCATTGCACTAGTAAATGCTAAAATCATTATGAAAATGATTGGTACAAATTTCAACATATCCGCAAAGAGGACCTTCTGTAACATAACTGTTATGTAGCTGAACTGTCGGATTCCTCGCAGGAAGAACGTTGTTGACCACCAACCAAAGATCAATGCTATCACCAGCCAGTAATTACTTGTAACAGTTTCAGCATTCCACGCCATGTCAATCAGTAACGCAAAACCAAACAGCACAAATATACATCGGTATACTCCATTGTGATGCAGTATTGTAAAATGAAAAGGTTGCCATGAAACAAAACTCCGAAGAAATTCTAGAATTATATAAAGGAGGCTTATGACCAATGAGACGCCATTCCAAGCCTTGAAGTTCCAGGTCTCCATATGGTTTGCTCCAGCTTTGCGGATGACAAAAGTTTTGCGTTCAGAATGGTAGGTGAGTGTACTCATTAGCAATAAGTGAAGAAGCAGGCCGACATAGTAACAATGCCAGTACTTCTCCCACTTTAAGTACACCACTTCTCGGACAGTGTAGACTTTCAGAAAATTACATGCCTTCTCTGTCTTCAAACTGCATATGATTTCCAAAATACTTTGGTTTGTGCTTCGTCTAAATTGCTTCCAATAGGTCACTACTGGACATTCCACTTTGCCGTTTGCCAGCCCCTCGGCTCTGTGTCCTGTGTTCATGAAGTCAGGCGACATCTGAAGAATAGCTTTATCCCAAGTTCCCTTGTCAATCTCTGTTACATCACATTCGTAGATATCAAAAACGCCGTCATGGCTAGTGAAGAACTTGTATACATCTTCCATACCAAGGATGTGTTCAAACACGTTGGCCAGACCCAACACGGCAGCAAGATGGAGAGCTGTTTGATTTTGTTTATTTTCTAGTTGTACATTTTGCCGCTTTTTGTCTCTTTTTGCTAAAATATCAAACATGTTGATGATGTCCCTCTCTTTGTCTGGATTGAAAGATGCGTACAGGACCAGAGAGTGAAAAACTGTATTGCCAACACTATCTGAATCGTGCAGCTCAGCGTTATTGTCAAGGAGATGGTTCACCATCATCACATCATTGTTCAAAGCAGCAATGGACAAAGGTGTCCCTCCTAACATCACAGTGCCTCTTAATTTCTTTCCTCTAACTTTACTTCCCATCGCCTTTTTGAGCAAACTATGATTTTTTTTATCATTAATTTCCTTCTCATCTTCCTTTATCAGTGCATCAATCATGCATTCCGGAAGAGATTGTGGATGTTGATTATCCATGGCCATGGCAATGGCAATGTGGAATGGCGTCTGTCCACGATACTCATCGTCCTTCCTCTCACAGTTGATTAATCCTGGATCACAAGCAATTAAATACTTCGCAACTTCATTCTTCCTACAGCTGACGGCAATATGAAGCAGCGACTCTCCAGAATCTGACGCTAGTAATGTATCACGTTTGTTCTTCTCCGCATCAGTAAATCTATAGCTTACTAGTCTTTCTTTGTTGATCGCCTTTTCGCCTTTGCGCTTCCCCTTATTCTTCTCTAAAAACTTAATCAATTCGTTTTCATTCACGGTCTTGTCCATTAAGTTGGACACAAGGTTCAACATGGGATCTTCAAGCTCGTGTGTGATCTTTTCCATTTTAGAGTTTTAACCCTGAAAATAGATAAAAGAGGACTCTAACTAATTTACTGCCTCAATCGCTGTAAACAATCTGCGGTATTTCATGAAGAGAATTATTATTAGTTATTGCCAACTGATGGGATTTTAGAAAGAAGTGATTTCAAATAAATTGTTCTGTCTGAGGTAGATTTCGGACCAATAACAATGCAGGAATCCTTGATGGGGCGAGTGAGTGAGTTAAAGTTTAACGTCACATCGGCAATACTTCAGCCAAACCGTGTCGAGGGGAATCCTTAAGGTCATGGTACAAATTGAAATATCTCTTTTCATCTGCTGATGGAATATTCTATAACAAAGAAATTATCCAACGACACATCGGACAATTTTGACGACCGAAAGAAGCAACTGGCCTCGTACTTTTGGTCTGTCACAAGATCTAAACATCATGCAATCATCTGGAATTAAGACATGCAATGGTCTACAGGAACCAGACATCATGCAAACAATAACGGTACAATACACACGCTTTTTCAAGGCGATGTTCCGAATAAAAACGCATGTAAAGGTCAATCCTGATATGTAATTGAATACAAAAATAGTCCCACTGGTTGCATTCTGCGACTTATTTCTCTCTGACAACATAAACAAATCTGAAACCCACACTGTTTCGTAGTATCTTAAAAGAGGGATGTCCATGAGAATGAATTAATAACCTGTACCTATCCACCTAAAAGAATATCACAAGTGTCGGTTCTATCTGTTCCTCTAGATCACAGTTATCAATTGGTTTACCTGTTTCACCATCGTGTTAAAACATGTATGGGAATGTATATAGTCCAGTTGACTATGGCACATAAATAATGTCTTTTAATGTGTTTTCTTTATTATTCAAGTTCATGTCTCATGTTGCCTGTAATCTTCATAAATCATCGAAAACGTTTTTCTTCTAGCCTCCATTGCATCTTCTGTTGTAATAACGAACGTTATTATATAATGTCCGAGGAATGTTGACTGAATAAACTGTAAAAAAAGCACACATTGAGTACCTGAAGGAAACTACGTCATGCATTTCAAGAATTATTTTTCAAAACAAAAAGCCTAAATCTAAAAGTATGACTTAACCCTATTACCATAAAACATTATTTGCATAGTGTAACCATTGCACCTAAGGTCTCTGGCAATACTGCGAGTTCAAATTGCTTTCAAATTGCAAGTCCTGATCCTCAAATTATCTCAGGTAATAATTAGTGATCGCACATGTCTATATATTCTTAGTGGGCAGTTCCTACCCACAAAGACGACGACTAAGAGGTAACTACTCTTGCGTTTTGATTACGAAACATGTTCACGTCCTTAATTGTTTAAAATTGTATAGAATGCATAATGTTTAGATTCTAAACGTGTTCAAAATCTAAACCTAAATAGAAATCTGCTTGGTGTAGTTTGCTCATCTGCCATGGTTACACCAAGAAACGATGTAATTGATCACTTAAATGTAAAGCATCAATGCAAGAGAGTAACCGGTCTTGATTATCCGCTGAAACAGATTCCATTTAGCGTAACGGGCAAAGTAGCTGTGAACATTATATGAATGGATCGCCAAAAGTCAGTGAAAGTTCGCGAAAAAGTGTAAGTACGACCTGCTCTGTCGGTAGCACCCGCCATTCACAAAATTTGCATAAAAAAGTAAGTATTTTTCGAAATTTAATGGTATCCCACAACGACGGACATTTTTCTTCTAATGCTTGATTTCATTGCCCTAAGATTGAATTTCCTCATGACTTTTCGAAAGTTTGACATAACAGTTATTACGACAATAAATCTTCTGTAACCATAAACACTTCAAATGAACTTATAGGTACGGAGTTAACTGACGAAGACGACAAATGACAACATTCCTCACTTTTCGTGAACACGTTCATGTTCCAAACATGCCGAGATTTTGAAAATGTTGAAGTCTTGGCCCATTGCTAGTGTTACATATTATATAATATACTAGATTTTAATTTGTTATGAATCATTATTCAGTAAATTTGAATCTGAATGGTATCTGAATCCCTTTATCTTGCAAAAGTTGCAGCTCTTCGCGGCGAATATTCTAGTGTGACAATGATTCGCATGTAATGAGGTGAGGATGTCCCTATCCACTTATCTGAGCATGGTTAATGTTTGCACTGCAAACGGACCAACATGTATGTATGATATTATTATCATATATTTAATTTCAGGGAATGTTTCAAGACTGCCATAGTGCTTTAGTGAGTGAGTGAGATTGATTTTACGCCGCTTTTAGCAATATTCCAGCAATATCACGGCGGGGACACCAGAAATCGGCTTCACACATTGTACCCAAGTCGGGAATCGAACCCGGGTCTTCGGCGTGACAAGCGAACGCTTTAACGACTGTGCTACCCGATCGCCTCCATAGTGCTTTACAAAATCATGTGTGCGAGCATGAGTGCAAGTATATTTGCGTGCGTCATGTGCTTGCGTGCCTGGTGTGAGGATCTGTTCAAGATGTTAATGTATTGATATTTCGTATGATGTGTCTGAAGTGAGACATTAATTAGCTCTGTCTATCTCCTACTCACAATTGTCAGAAAAACTGGTAACCGGGTGACTAAACTGGTGAACTAAAGGGAACGTATCAGCTTGCATACTGTTTTTCAGTCAGACCCTTAGTGCTACAAGGTTTGTTAGGTCGTATGAGCCTTATTGTTCAAAAGTATCAGCATGTGTAAACCCAATATTTCACATGGTAGAAAAATCTACGATCAACTTTTTCGAGTACCGGTAATATGACAATGTAAACAATAAACAAGAATCATATCCCTGATATCCGAAATGATCCATAACTTTCTAAGGCATAAACATATTTGAAAGTTTTTGCAAATTTACAAACGTGTCCTTGCTCAAGGAAATGCTCATATTTCAAACCCTTATAAATTGACAAAAAAAGTCAGAAATTTATCTAATGACGATCAACAGAGATGCGTTTGAAATACGCTCTGAGAAAATATTTACTGGGGTATCGACTTCCGAAGTCATATTTGGAAAATTCTGACCATCCGGTCATAGCATTCACGAAATTGGTGCTTGTGCATATGGCAAAGGATGTTTCAAAGGTGTAGTTCATACGAAAAGTTAGCTCATATCGGGAATACTGAGCAAAATCGGTCATTGCATCTATTTCCTACTTTTTTTGGATTTTTTCATAGGCGTAAAAATCGGCTTTTTGTCCCGTGTAAGTTATTTTAATCAAGATATTAAAACAAACACATTTTAGCAAGTTTAATAATCTACTTCAACCTATGTATATAATAATTAACTAATTGCCTCATTTACATAACTTGAATGTTAAGACCCACACTGAACTTGTATTAGTCCCTTGACTCTTCTGTGGCTTTGATTAATCTCAGTGATGGGCGATATGGCTGAAATATTGCCAAAGTGACGTTAAACTTTGCTCACTCACTCACTCTCAATGTTGGACCCGAGTAATATTTTCCTACTCAGAACAAAAAGTAGGTTTGATTTACGTGTAGCAATAATCCCGTCGAACGTGCCTCAAACTAAGCGAGTTTTACACCGAAAACGCGATGATGAGGCACTGTTTACAGTATGTCGGACTATAATCGAAGAACCAAAACACAGGACACTGCAAGACTTACACGACTTAGCGATAGGAATCACGGGCTACACCCTGCAGGGATATCCACAACATAAACACCAACAACAGAACGGAGTTAAAATTTTTTTTATATAAGCTGTGGTACGAGTACCTTTATTACGGAAGTGTAGTAGGGCCACGGTGAAATATTTTTGTCTCAGTATCTCCTACGTAGGACTTATCTCCTGCGAAGGACTCAGTATCTTCTACGTAGGACTAACTATCTCCTACGTAGGACTTATTACCTCCTACGTAGGACTTACTATCGCTTACGTATGACTTAGTATAGCCTAGAATCACCATCTCCTACGTAGGACTTAGCATCTTCTTCGTAGGACTTAGTATCTCCTACGTAGGACTTAGTATCTTCTACGTAGGACTTACTATCTCCTACGTAGGACTTACTATCTCATATGTAGGACTTACTATCTCCTACGTATGAATTAGTATGGCCTAAAATCACCATCTCCTACGTAGGACTTAGCATCTTCTTCGTAGGACTTAGAATCTCCTACGTATGACTTAGTATCTCCTACGTAGGACTTTCTATATCTTACGTATGACTTAGTATGGCCTAGAATCACCATCTCCTACGTAGGACTTAGTATCTTCTTCGTAGGACTTAGTATCTTCTACGTAGGACTTAGTATGGCCTAGAATGGCCTAGAATCACCATTATTGTCTCCTACGTAGGACTTACTATCTCCTACGTAGGACTTATTATCTCCTACGTATGAATTAGTATGGCCTAGGATCACCATCTCCTACGTAGGACTTACTATCTTCTAAGTAGGACTTAGAATCTCCTACGTATGACTTAGAATCTCCTATGTAGGACTTACTATATCTTATGTATGACTTAGTATGGCCTAGAATTACTATCTCCTACGTAGCACTTACTATCTCCTACGTAGGAGTTACTATCTCCTAAGTAGGACGTATTGTCTACTACGTAGGACTTACTATCTTCAACGTAGGACTAATTGTCTCCTACGTAGGACTTACTATCTCCTACGTAGGAGACAATTAGTCCTAAGTAGGACTTATTATCTCCTACGTAGGACTTAGGACTTACTATCTCCTACGTAGGACTTACTATCTCTTACGTAGGACTTACTATGTCCTACGTAGGACTTATTACCGCCTACGTAGGACTTACTATTTCCTAAGTAGGACCCACTATCTCTTACGTATGACTTAGTATAGCCTAGAATCACCATCTCCTACGTAGGACTTAGTATATTCTTCGTATGACTTAGTATCTCCTACGTAAGACTTAGTATCTTCTACGTAGGATTTATTCTATCCTACGAAGGACTTACTATCCCCTATGTAGGACATATTATCTCTTACGTAGGACCTACTGTCTCCTACGTAGGACTTAGTATCTCCTACGTAGGACTTAGTATCTCCTATGTAGGACTTACTATCTCTTACGTATGACTTAGTATAGCCTAGAATCACCATCTCCTATGTAGGACTTATTATTTCCTACGTAGGACTTACTATCTCTTACGTAGGACTTAGTATAGCCTAGAATCACCATCTCCTACGTAGGACTTACTATTTCCTAAGTAGGACCCACTATCTCTTACGTATGACTTAGTATAGCCTAGAATCACCATCTCCTACGTAGGACTTAGTATATTCTTCGTAGGACTTAGTATCTCCTACGTAGGACTTAGTATCTTCTACGTAGGATTTAGTCCTACGTAGGATAAAATAAATCTTACTTAGAAGATACTAAGTCCTACGTAGGAGATACTAAGCCCTATAAAGAGAGGTGCTAAGTCCTACGTAGGAGATGGTGATTCTTGGCTATACTAAGTTTACTTTATTCTATCCTACGTAGGACTTACTATCCCCTATGTAGGACTTATTATATTTTACGTAGGATTTACTATCTCATACGTAGGACTTAGTATCTCCTACGTAGGTCTTACTATCTCTTACGTATGACTTAGTATAGCCTAGAATCACCATCTCCTACGTAGGACTTAGCATCTTCTTCATAGGGCTTAGTATCTCCTACGTAGGACTTAGTATCTTCTACGTAGGATTTATTCTATCCTACGTAGGACTTACTATCCCCTATGTAGGACATATTATCTCTTACGTAGGACTTACTATCTCCTACGTAGGACTTAGTATCTCCTACGTAGGACTTACTATCTCTTACGTATGACTTAGTATAGCGTAGAATCACCATCTCCTACGTAGGACTTAGTATTTCCTACGTAGGACTTCCTATCTCCTATGTAGGACTTATTATTTCCTACATAGGACTTACTATCTCTTACGTATGACTTAGTATAGCCTAGAATCACCATCTCCTACGTAGGATTTAGTTTCTTCTTCGTAGGACTTAGTATCTTCTACGTAGGACTTAGAATCTCCTACGTTTGACTTAGTATCTCCTACATATGACTTACTATCTCTTACGTATGACTGAGAATGGCCTAGAATTTCTATCTCCTACGTAGGACTTACTATATCCTATGTAGGACTTTTTATCTCCTACGTAGGACTTACTATCTCTTACGTATGACTTAGTTTGGCATAGAATCACCATCTCCAAGGTAGGACTTAGTATTTTCTACGTAGGACTTACTATCTCCTACGTAGGACTTACTATCTCATATGTAGGACTTACTATCTCTTACGTAGGACTTATTATCTCCTACGTTTGATTTACTATCTCCTACGTAGGACTTAGTATCTCCTACGTAGGACTTACTATCTCTTACGTATGACTTAGTATAGCGTAGAATCACCATCTCCTACGTAGGACTTAGTATTTCCTACGTAGGACTTCCTATCTCCTATGTAGGACTTATTATTTCCTACGTAGGACTTACTATCTCTTACGTATGACTTAGTATAGCCTAGAATCACTTTTCCTACGTAGGATTTAGTTTCTTCTTCGTAGGACTTTGTATCTTCTACGTAGGACTTAGTATCTTCTACGTAGGACTTAGAATCTCCTACGTTTGACTTAGTATCTCCTACATAGGACTTACTATCTCTTACGTATGACTGAGAATGGCCTAGAATTTCTATCTCCTACGTAGGACTTACTATATCCTATGTAGGACTTTTTATGTCCTACGTAGGACTTACTATCTCTTACGTATGACTTAGTATTGCCTAGAATCACCATCTCCAAGGTAGGACTTAGTATTTTCTACGTAGGACTTATTATCTCCTACGTAGGACTTCCTATCTCCTACGTTTGACTTAGTATCTCCTACGTAGGACTTAGAATCTCTTATGTATGACTTAGTATGGCCTAGAATTACTATCTCCTACGTGGGACTTAGTATCTCCTACGTAGGACTTACTATCTCCTACGTAGGCCTTACTATCTCCTACGTAGGACTTCCTATCTCCTACGCAGGAGATAGTAATGCATGAACCAAGGCAGCGAGCCTGGCCATCCGATCCCATTAGTCACCTCTTACGACAAATATGTGTTGCCGAAGACCAATTCTAACCTATGGAATCCTAGAAAGGGCATTATTGCGTTGTCGCCCTTACAAAAACAAGCTCAAAGTGTCATAATGAGCCAAAGCGCGACAGTGCGACATTTTGACTATTTGTCGCGCTATGAAAACTATTTTTTACTTTTACAATAAGGCGACAACACGTCATTTTTTCCCAAGGTCAAAATGTTCCTTCTAGGATTCCATACTAACCCTGATCAATACATTTACTGAATTTAATATAGAATAGAATGGATATACAGTCAATATTTTGCCTATAGATATTTATGCTTGTCAGTACAATGACAATCTTGACATGCAAATCACAACACATCGACAATTCAACCAGTCTCTAGACCCCTTATCAGCCTGCCTCGCGTCTAGTGACTGTCTGTTACGTCTAGAGAGGGTTTTTTGGATTGTACAGACACTGAAGCAGTTTTCAACTTTTCAACCAAATTTAAACGATTTTTGCTTGAGGTTGATATCCTGTTGGTGCATACGTGTAGGATTCCCTTCCATTGTAAGCACGTCTCATATTTGCAGGAGATGCAGTAAGAGGATTTAATGTCTTCAGGATTTCAATATTACCGTGCCCTGTTCCATATTTCTGTGTCAGCTTTGAGAAGAATGGAAATAAGAAACGTGTAGCTGCACTAAATCAGCATCACATGGACAAATTTAAGTGAAACCCATGGAAAAGTATACTAATGGAGAATTGTACTCCTACCTATCATCCGTTCTTGATTAGATGACTATTAAAAAAGTATTAAAATATAATTGCATACCTTGTTTCTGTGCGTCCCAGCCAGTGGACACTATAAGCCGAGGTCTGTTTCCAGATGGTTAGTTATACTCATGGCGCAACTTGTTTACTGTTACTGGGGTAATAATGATTTTGTTTTGCTTCACTAAGGTAATAATGATGTTTCCTACTATTGAAAAACAGCTTTCCCAGAGAAGCGCTGATTCCTAGAAATATAGAAATGCCATGAAAGGTATTAGTTTGTAATGCGTGTAGTCTTTATTCTCCGTTCCAGTTGGGAGGGAACAAATATAATCAATATTGCAAGGGTTCTATTGCTGGAGCCGCCGCTTTGATAACTAAATAATTTCAAAATAGTTGGCATTGATTGAAATCGGTGAGACACAATACAGACGGGATAAGGTATGACGGGAAATGCATCATTTAGGAAATGAGCAAAACATTTAGAAGTTTTGGAGGATTTATGTAGAATTAGACTTTATTCAATTCAATACTATCATGTTTCGACATATAACAACACTAACTGTACAGGTACAACTGAAATGTATAGAAAAGGCTGAATATTGTCACACATTTACCTTATTTGTATATGTTTACAAAATGTGCATATATAAGTAATATGTATAAAGAAGTATAAAGGCAACAGTAAAACAACAAAGTAAATGCCATGTCATGTAGGAGAGATGGCGTGGCAACGGCATACAATAAAAGTGTTATTTTATATGACTAAGGGTCGCACGTTGAGCTGTATGTGCTTTGTGTCAGTGGCCGACGCACCGTGCAGCATGTCACCTGCTAGGAATTTCCAGTCTGAGCTTCTATATTAATAATTCAAACGTTCCATCATGCAAATGTCAATCGATTGATTTAACTTGAACCAAATGACATTGCACATTGCAAGTCACACATCTTAATGATCACTGCTGTGTCCGACCATGCCATTGTTCAGATTTAACGACAACCAAGTGACTATTGTACCTTTGTATTAATCACTGGAACAACTGCATAAAACTGTGTGCTTGTACTTGTAAAAGGCAAACACTGCCGTAGTTGCAGGGTGACAGTTAACTCCCGGGACTCCCGGTGCCACTGGCATGGTCGAGACCTACCAGTGTCCTCTCAATAAAGGCACTGCAGCTCATTATGTCTCTTGTATGATTCCCTATGGTCAGTTTGTGACCTTGGTACGGCTGACCACAGATAAATCACAATATTTCCAGAAAGCCTTTTCTCATGTTTGAACATGAGCAAGCTAGTTTTCCACTGTATGTCCACTACAGCCTCATGAGGCATTACATACGTCTCCTATATGCCCACTACAACCTCATGATGCGTCGCATACTTCTCCTATATGCCCACTACAGCCTCATGAGGCATTGCATACTTCTCCTATATACCATTACAGCCTCGCGAGGCATTACATACTTCTCCTGTATGTCCACTACAGCCTCATGAGGGATTGCATACTACTCCTGTATGTCCACTACATCCTCATGAGGGATTGCATACTTCGTATATATACACTATAGCCTCGTGAGGCATTGCATACTTCTCCTATATATCCACTACAGCCTCATGAGGGATTGCATACTTCTCCTGTATGTCCACTACAGCCTCATGATGCATCGCATACTTCTCCTATATGCCCACTACAGCCTCATGATGCATCGCATACTTCTCCTGTATGTCCACTACAGCCTCATGATGCATCGCATACTTCTCCTATATACCACTACAGCCTCGCGAGGCATTACATACTTCTCCTGTGTGTCGACTACAGCCTCATGAGGCATTGCATACTTCTCCTGTATGTCCACTACAGCCTCATGAGGGATTGCATACTTCTACTGCATGCCCACTACAGCCTCATAAGGCATTGCATACTTCTCCATTATGTCCACTACAGCCTCATGAGGCATAACATACTTCTCCTATATATCCACTACAGCCTCATTAGGGATTACATACATCTCCTGTATGTCCACTACAGCCTCATGAGGAATTGCATACTTCTCCTATATATCCACTACAGCCTCATGAGGGATTGCATACTTCTCCTATATATCCACTACAGCCTCATTAGGCATTACATACTTCTCCTGTATATCCACTACAGCCTCATGAGGGATTGCATACTTCTCCTGTATATCAACTACAGCCTCATGAGGGATTGCATACTTCTCCTATATATCCACTACAACCTCATGATGGATTGCATACTTCTCCTGTATATCCACTACAGCCTCATGAGGGATTACATACTTCTCCTATATATCCACTACAGCCTCATGAGGGATTGCATACTTCGCATATATACACTATAGCCTCGTGAGGCATTGCATACTTCTCCTATATATCCACTACAGCCTCATGAGGGATTGCATACTTCTCCTGTATGTCCACTACAGCCTCATGATGCATCGCATACTTCTCCTATATGCCCATTACAGCCTCATTAGGCATCGCATACTTCTCCTATATACCACTACAGCCTCGCGAGGCATTACATACTTCTCCTGTGTGTCGACTACAGCCTCATGAGGCATTGCATACTTCTCCTGTATGTCCACTACAGCCTCATGGGGCATTGCATACTTCTACTGCATGCCCACTACAGCCTCATAAGGCATTGCATACTTCTCCATTATGTCCACTACAGCCTCATGAGGCATAACATACTTCTCCTATATATCCACTACAGCCTCATGAGGGATTACATACATCTCCTGTATGTCCACTGCAGCCTCATGAGGGATTGCATACTTCTACTATATATCCACTACAGCCTCATGAGGGATTGCATACTTCTCCTATATATCCACTACAGCCTCATTAGGCATTACATACTTCTCCTGTATATCCACTACAGCCTCATGAGGGATTGCATACTTATCCTGTATATCAACTACAGCCTCATGAGGGATTGCATACTTCTCCTATATATCCACTACAACCTCATGATGGATTGCATACTTTTCCTGTATATCCACTACAGCCTCACGAGGGATTACATACTTCTCCTATATATCCACTACAGCCTCATGAGGGATTGCATACTTCGCATATATACACTATAGCCTCGTGAGGCATTGCATACTTCTCCTGTATATCCACTACAGCCTCATAAGGCATTACATACTTCTCCTGTATGCCAACTACATCCTCATGAGGCATAACATACTTCTCCTATATATCCACTACAGCCTCATTAGGCATTGCATACTGCTCCTGTATGTCCACTACAGCCTCATAAGGCATTATATACTTCTCCTTTATATCGACTACATCCTCTTCAGGCATGACATACTTCTCCTGTATATCCACTACATCCTCATGAGGTATAACATACATCTCCTTTATATCCACTACAGCCTCATTAGGCATTACATACTTCTCCTCTTTATCCACTACAGCCTCGTGAGGCATTGCATACTTCTACTGCATGCCCACTACAGCCTCATAAGCCATTACATACTTCTATTGTATTTCCACTACATCCTCATGAGGCATAACATACTTCTCCTTTATATCCACTACAGCCTCCTTAGGCATTACATACTTCTCCTGTTTGCCCACTAAAGCCTCATGAGGCATTACATACTTCTACTGTATGTCCACTGCAGCCTCATGGGGCATTGCATACTTCTCCTGTATATCCACTATAGCCTCGTGAGGCATTACATACTTCTATATGCCCACTACAGCCTCATGAGGCATTACATACTACCCGTGTATATCCACAACAGCCACATGAGACATTAAATACTTCCCCTGTGTATCCACTACAGACTCATGAGGCATTACATACTTCTCCTGTATTTCCACTACATTGGCATTGCATACTTTTCCTATATCCCCACTACGTCCTCATGGGGCATTGCATACTTATCCTGTATATCCACTACATCCTCATGAGGCATTACATACTTCTCCTGTTTGCCCACTACAGCCTCATTAGGGATTACATACTTCTACTGTATGTGCACTACAGCCTCATGGGGCATTGCATACTTCTCCTGTATATCCACAACAACCACATGAGACATTACATACTTCTCCTATATTTCCACTACAGCCTCATGAGGGATTGCATACTTCGCATATATACACTATAGCCTCGTGAGGCATTGCATACTTCTCCTGTATATCCACTACAGCCTCATAAGGCATTACATACTTCTCCTGTATGTCCACTACATCCTCATGGGGCATTGCATACTTCTCCTATATATCCACTACAGCCTCATTAGGCATTGCATACTTATCCTGTATGTCCACTAAAGCCTCAAAAGGCATTACATACTTCTCCTATATGCCCACTACATCCTCATGAGGCATTACATACTTCTCCTGTATGCCAACTACATCCTCATGAGGGATTACATACTTCTCCTATATATCCACTACAGCCTCATTAGGCATTGCATCCTTCTCCTGTATGTCCACTACAGCCTCATAAGGCATTACATACTTCTCCTGTATGCCAACTACATCCTCAAGGGGCATAACATACTTCTCCTTTATATCCACTACAGCCTCATTAGGCATTCCATACTTCTCCTGTTTATCCACTACAGCCTCATTAGGCATTACATACTTCTACTGCATGCCCACTACAGCCTCATAAGCCATTACATACTTCTCCTTTATTTCCACTACATCCTCATGAGGCATAACATACTTCTCCTTTATATCCACTACAGCCTCCTTAGGCATTACATACTTCTCCTGTTTGCCCACTACAGCCTCATTAGGCATTACATACTTCTACTGTATGTCTACTGCAGCCTCATGGGGCATTGCATACTTCTCCTGTATATCCACTATAGCCTCGTGAGGCATTGCATACTTCTATATGCCCACTATAGCCTCATGAGGCATTACATACTACCCGTGTATATCCACAACAGACACTTGAGACATTAAATACTTCCCATGTGTATCCACTACAGACTCATGAGGCATTACATACTTCTCCTGTATTTCCACTACATTGGCATTGCATACTTTTCCTATATGCCCACTACGTCCTCATGGGGCATTGCATACTTATCCTGTATATCCACTACATCCTCATGAGGCATTACATACTTCTCCTGTTTGCCCACTACAGCCTCATTAGGGATTAC